TGGGTCACAACAAAAGTTATAGAGTCTCTCAGAAAGCCACAGAAAGGAGTGACGTGAGAGTTAGGCCTAAAGCTATGTCTGTACCTCCAAAGGATCTAATCTAGTTCCAAGGTCACTCCAAGGTCATAACATTCCCATATCGTGTGGAACAGTTCAATTTTAAGTAAATGTAGCTCAAAGTAAACAAAGAAAAGTTGGGTAGGGCTATTTTTTGACAAAAAAATAAGCAGGCAAATATATCTACGAGATATTGTACATCGCCCTAAACTACTGGCTTTTTCCCAAAAATAGTTGGATCGTGGCTTCAAAGGGGGTGGTCAAATATTGGCAAAAATACTGCCCTTCTATTGGTCAATAAAAATAAACAAAAAATAGTTGGGTTGGGTTCTGAATTGAATCCCATGTGTTGAGTTGACTCAATGGACTAGAATGAATGGCTATTGCCAACCAGTAGCTTATAATTTTGATTATCTCCCTTTTACAACACTGTAACTATTCAAACCCCATTATTGCTCTGTTATCGTTCAATAGCGGGCACATTAACTCAAATTATCAGACCCAACGCTGCTGTATTGCTCCATAGCAACACCCTGCTGTATTGCTCCATAGCAACACCAGCTGACCTGCCTGCAATGGCAAATGAGACTTTAAAAGACCTGTTGATCAACATGTCAACGTCAGGATACCTATTGCTGAATTACACCTTGTCATGATCAACTATCATACAATGGGTGCGCATAGGATACATTTCATTCTATGAAGTGAAAGATCAGACCATATCCAACCTTGAGGGGACGCTTTCAAAGGTTGGAGGGAGAGCCGAAGCGACAGGATCCAGCACCACGCGTCGATGCGCAGCTCGTTTGGAGGGAGAAAGTGTTAGAATAAAGCAAAATGTGCTCTATCGTGAGTGCCTTTAGCGCTCAGAACAAACTCTCTGCAATCTAAATTTGTAATCGACTGCACAACACTTTCACGACAATAGTTCTCCTGTGTTAGGTATACTTTGAGTGAAATTGTTCCTATTTGATTAATGTTTGGCTTGAATTGATGATTCAATCACAAAAGTGAGTTCAACGATTTTCCCTTGGAGAATCCCTTGTTTACAGAACTCAATTCAACTTTTTACGAGAATTCTGTGTTGAATACAGTACTTTGGGACATCTTGTATTATTCCCTACTGCATCGTACACCACATTGATATTCCACTTGTATAGGGTCTTTCCCTTTTTGTGTGGATACAGATTGTCCGGCAGACTTGCGTCCGGCAGACTTGTGTCGCAACTCGATTCTTGTTCTTATTGGCAGAACTGCCACTCCTGCTCGAAGGCCATTCTCTTGGTTTCTTTGGAACTTGAGAAAGGTTCAGCCCTGACATTGCAGCTTGCGCATACGTTTGCCCAGATCAAGTGACTTTTGCTACTTGAGGCTCTTCAGGCTCAAATACAATCTCTTCTTCTGGCGGTTCTTGTAGATCCTCCAGATCAGTAACGAGGCTCCCAATATCATTGGTTCCTCTATCAACATTTTCTTGATGGTGATCCAAATCGGCCACAATAGGTTCTTCCTCTTCATCGCCTTCATCACCCAAATCGTTGTCAGCTGATTCATAGTCATCATCCCCTTGGAATCTGACAATGAGTTCCAGCATATCATCAACATCATTGTCTGCATCTGCCAAGAGCTCATTTCTTTTGGAGTCATCAATAAAATCACGTTCATCTTCATCTTCAGGTTCATAGTCCTGATCAAAGTCTTCTTCTAAGTAACCTTGTTCCGTGTCATCCACTCCTGCGATTTGATCGCCATCTTGAAATGTCTCCAAATCTCTCTTCTTATCAAAGAACTTCATGGAGGTAACACCTTCGGCAGCAGCCCAAGCTTCAACACGCTGGATTACTTGATCGGTAACGGGTAGTACAACAACCTTGGGTCAAGAAATCATCTTCTTAGTATTGAGGTTGAGCACGCGGTGCCCAGTACGTTGTCCCTTTGTAGGTTCAATGTAGATCGCTTCAATACTTTGTGGTTCCATCAAATTGTTGGAATCCGTCCCAATTGCATGTACATACTGTCCAAGCTCAGCAACCATGTCATTCTTGTAGTTGATATTGACATTATCAATGAGTTGCTGCGGACTGAAATGTGAGGAAATACTGTCTTTCTGGGGAAAGACATTCAATAGCTCGGCGG